GGCGCATCGGTAATGGGAACATTGGGAACAGGTACGCCACGGTCTGTGGCTAACGAATGGTGAAATGTAATGGGGAGAATGGAGGGGAAAAGAAAACAAACGAAATGGCTCGCTACTGTCTTAGCCTGTATACTGTTAACTTGTAACGCGATAATATCAGGGCCTAACTATGATCGTATGATGAAAATACTGTGTTTTCTTTCGTATATTATACTCCCTTATCGGTTCTGCTAGAAATTACGCTCAATCTTTACATAGACAAAATTAACGTCTGTTAACCCTTTCGGTGCTACGAACGTGTCAACGTGTTCAAGAAATGATACTACTAGATGAATGAGTCTACTGAATTGGTCATCTCCAGAGCTATTTGATCTCATATACATGAAGAAATTATGAAGTGTACCGTTATGTTGTCTATAAAGTGTATTCATTGCTGAGGTGCGCCATAAACAGGAGCGTACAGTAATGTCGCGATGAGTGCGACGTACTCGGGTCCGCATGGAGCATTCATGGCAAGGTAGGTTTTCAGGCCCTCATAAATTTTTGAAACTGTTTAGTCTGTTTTGATTGATTTCAGAGGGTGGGGAAGCAGCGATGGGAATAACGCCGTTGCTCGTGTTTTATTCATCGACGAATCACTGTATTCAGTATTCAGACATTTGTCAAAATTATGTTTGGACCCCAGAGCTTTCGGTATGCCACGTTCTGTGGCTAACGAATGATGAAATTCAATGGGGGGATGGAGGGGGAAAAACAAACGAAATGAAAAATCGTGGGGATCGAGGATTTCCAGGGCTTGGATGCTGATTGTGAGCAAAGTTTCAGACGAGACACGGTATCAAGTCCAAGCCGCCCGTGAATGAAGAATCTTTTCTTCCGCATGATAACGTTTGAATGGATTTAATTAAGATGTTCTGATGCCCGCAGCTTTGAATAATAGAACCGGCCGCGGAATTAAAAATAACGCCGCGGATATGAAAAAGGGGAAAGTGAAAATCCGCGAGTGAAAATAGGTTCTTAAAGAGCTTATCGCGGAAACGGACCGTGGCGGCGGGACATTTAAGTCGTCTGTCTTTCGCCTGTTTTTAGCTGATTTCGATGTAATCTTACAGGGGATTCTACGAATTGCTCTCATTCGATTGTGATTGGTTTAAAGTGTGATGGAGGATAAAGCAACTCGAAGAATCTTTGATAGGGGAGGAATGGAATACGAAAGACAGGCGGGAAATTGTACGGCATTAAATTGCCGCAGCGGTTGGCTTTAAAAATTTATAATAAAAATACTGCAATTTGCCGCACGGATGCGGCAATCCCTTGTGCCGGGGACTATTTCTGAGGGAATCTTTGGACCGTAAAAGAAGAAGAAAAAGAATATAATAGGTATAACTTGAAGACTAAAGCAGAAAACCTGAAAGCTTTTCACAGACCTTCTATATTCGAATTAGACATGATTATTAAGAAAAGAATTTCTGTACTTATATTTCGTATTTCGTCTCTTATCACAGCCTTATTAAAATATCTCTGCATTTTTTACATGATTATGTATATTTGCGTATTATTAATTTATTCATCGTCTCATTATTAAAACATAATAAGAATATTTGCTAAAAAAATATGTCTGTTTATTGGATAAGTTTATTCCTAGAATTTTTATTAGCTAAATTAAACAAATTTGTTGTAACTTTTCGCTTACCTGTTTTTTTCATGAATTTAAAAACATGAAAAATTTATCTTTTAAACTTTCGAATTAGAATGAAAACTTTTGTTAGACATTTCTAATTATATTGTTGTTACACGAAATGTTTCATCTTAAAACTGTTTAGTCGTTTAAACATTTCAAACCTAAAGTATCTGGACTTAAAATAATTACTAATTGACTTGACAAATAAACTGCGAGGGAAGTTTAATAAACTAAAGTGATGCATGAATTATTAAAGAAATGATATAGAAACAATGATAATCTTCATTGAAACACAATAACTGATGCAGCTATTTGCAAAAGTTTAATTAAAACCCCCCCCCCCTAAATAAACAACTAAACTGTCGATTCGACTTATTCATGAATTCATGAATAGTATTCAATAAATATTTGTTTTTAAGTTCAGTTAATCGTTGGTCCTATTACAAAATACTGTGAACAAAGTCGTTTCTATAGCTTTAGGACAACGTGTATTCTATACATGGTTTTCGTAACGTCAGTACAAATTGAGACTTTTTTATTTCATGCTCGCATTCATCCTAGTTTTCAATCTAGTTATTCGTCTGTATGCATACGAAGTTACATAGAATCCATTTAATCCAGTGTTGCGAAATGTCGGGGACAAACAAATATACAAAAAGTCATCAAACGGTGTAAAAAATTTGAAAAGTAAAAAAAAGCAAATAGACAGAACAGATTCCATTTTTCTTTATATAGACGTATAAGAGACAAAATTTGTGGACTTATAAAAAAAAACATTTGTATAGTTTCTATTAAAAATAATTTCCATAACTGAAAATATTTCATTTTCAGATTCAGTATTACACGTTAAAAATTATATGTACATTTATTTTTGTATAATCGAAGATTTATATAGATTAATACATGTACATCAGGATGTATACTGTTTCGTTCCTCTGTGTTTATAAGAATAAAAATCATAAAAGCAAATTTTATGTTAAATCTGTTTATAATAATTTAGATTTCAATGAATTAATGAGAATATATTTATCCTCCGAATGTAATACAAAATTTTGCGTCACAAGTTGTTGATGTTCGGATGTTACGAGCACCTGTACATAGTGTTCCTTAAATTGCAATAGCTTCCGACTATTTACCGCAACAAGGAAGTAAACCACGAAATAGGAATCAATTTGCAAAAATCTAGTCTCACATGGTTTTCGTGGCAGAGCTTCGATTTATTTTCAACCATAAAATCATGTTATCCCAAGAACTATGGGAATCCACAAGAACCTCATATCAGACGTTACTCTCGACGAAGTAATACCACCGCGGTTAATGTTCTACCAGGTTGCCGAGGTCGCGCACCTTATACGAGTTTTAAAACAAACACCACGGCGCAATGTCGAGGCGTCTCGTGTTACACGATCGCGGACGATTAACGCGCAAAGTGTCGAAATCACAATTGAATCCGTCTAATCGATTCGAAGCTTCGACTCGACGATCACGACAAAGAGCACAGCTACGGATGCTCGATGAATCCCGGTGATCAAGATCGATCAACGTAATCGGGAAGTCGGTCTCCGGGAGAATAATTTCTAGATCTGTCGTGTGCTTTCTATTCGTACACCAGCGAATGGTGGGGACGTGGAGGGGTTACACGGTGGCCCATGTACGAAGAAAGGAGTCGAAAAGGAGTGTACCAAACGGCGGGGATAGACACAAAGGAGAATCGGAGCATCGAGGGGTGTTAGGAGGACCCGGTGAAGACGGTATCCTCCCGCATACGGTTCTCTGTTGACTGAAGCAACTTAAGTCAACGCCGCGCTCACCTACGGTCTCCGGCACACTACGCTCAGCAGCGTGCGTCACGTGAGGGGCAGCGAGAACGTGAGGTAGCCGCGAGGAGTGCGAGTAGGATGGAAGAACGATGCAAGCGGCGAGGAGGATGACGAACGGAGGAGGGTTGCTGGTTGCGGAGCGCGCGCGCGTGCGAGAGAGAGAGAGAGAGAGAGAGAGAGAGAGAGAGAGAGAAGACGAGCGGTAGCGTGTAGCGGCGAAGGGTTTAAGTATAAGGATACCGAGGCATGCGCCGTCCTATCATATTGATCTCGCCATAGTAACGATTCTCTCTTCTCTGGCGATGTTGGCATGCACTATAGCACCGGGACGAAGAGGGAAACCCGACGAGAACGACGGAAGGGGGTTGTACCGCATGGTATACCATGCCACCCGACGATGCGCGGATGTGGGCTGCACAGGGGTGAACGAGAACGACGATGAGAGAAACTGGAGAGGACAGAGACGGCGGTATCGATTGGACAAGGATGAGGCATAGAAAGGGAGAGCGACACCGAGGATCTGACGGAGAGAAGAGACATCGGTGGCGGTAGGCCACACAGGGCGCTAGCGCCAAAGAGAGCCGAGGCGGCGGTACCGCGCGGCGCTGCAGCCAAATGAAAATCAGTCCAGCGTTGGTCGCCGGCGAGGGCGGATCTGGCTATCCTGTGACCGGATACGGGACTAGTCGAAAGGAACATTGGAAAAACGGTGGAACATCACGGTGATAAGCTTCGACGACCTGAAAGTAGATCAGGAGGATGTTGACCGGGGTAGCGTCACGGTGCTGCTGACGGTCAGACGCGATCCGAGATACGGCAAGGAATCGGACAACACTTCGCGCGGATACAGCTGAGATCTCGTCGAGGGGGGAAAATTTCGTATGGTCGAATGAACCGTCTCGCTGAGACGCGTCGCTGAGTGGTTGCAATAGTTCGTCCCGTAAAAAACCGTGCCACACGTAACGTTTACCCGCAGTGTCGACACCGACCAGGGCCAGAAAAACGTACGGGAACGTACCGTTAACTCTCGCTGACGGAATCGTTAACGATCAGCTGTTGAGTGTGCAACCGTATTGGTACGAGAGACGAGAAGAGATGTCCTCGATGCCCAACGATGCCGTACGAAGGCAGAACGTGGGTGGCGTTTAGTGCGTGCGAGGTGTACGCGCGGGGACACGCTGCAGGCTGTCCGCGAAGGAGGCTGTCACGTGCCCCTGATAGAGCGAAAACGATGCAATTGCCGTGCTCGAGGCACGCACGTTCAGGCGGACCCTGAGAGGACTGGAGCTGTAGATCGGGCCAGTTACGCGGTTCTTAAGGGAGAAGTCGTCAGAAGTGTCTGCGAGTCGAGGTGGACCGCTTCTGTTTCGACGCGTCTGCAGCCACGTGCGAGGACAACCGAACGGTGAGGAGGTGGAGGAGGCGGAGAAGCCGGTGGTGGCGGAGGTGGTAGTGATCGAGGAAGGAGCGAGCTGCTCCGATTCCTCAAACGTGCAAACATGAGACGTTGGACTTTGATGGCAGTTATAGCCCTGGCTACATCCGGTGAGTTAAGCTAGCCGATTCCGTAACCCTTCTTAGGTAGTCAGAGACTTTAATCTGACGGAATTCGTGCTAGGCTCTCGTCCTAGGGAGCGGATCATCGCTTTTCTACCGCGACGGTCGATCGGGTGGTTTTTTCTAGATAATCGGTTCTTTTTTGCCTCACGGTTTTATTTGTTCTTTTTCCTCTTGTTTTTATCTATGTCTCTCTCTCTCTCTCTCTCTCTCTCTCTCTCTCTCTCTTTATCTATCTATCTCTCACTTTCTGTCTGTATATACTGGTATCTATTTTTCCGGTCCCTCGAGCTCGAAATGCTTCAAACGCACAAGACACGGGGGTCTCTGTACACAAGCTCGCACAGTTGGGATTTACGTGGCAAGAATGGCTTTGTTCGACTCGGATGTTAACTTTGACACCTGCGAATCGCGACAAACCAAACGGGGGGCTTGGGGAGAACGCAATGAATCTTCGTCTGTCAGAAGAATTTTTAACGTCTGATCGTAAACGATTCGGGTGACCCGGCGTCAGCCAATTTCATCCGATAACAGTGGGATCGAAACAGGAGGGGTGGGAGAAGGGGGGCTCTGATTTACAACTCTCGTTCCGTGTCGTCGCGCCTGGACGAAATTTCGAAAATATTTACGAGCCGCAACTTTGATGTCGCGTCACGAGGACATTGTAGTCGTATTTCACTGGTCGGTTTTAATAATTAGAACCCGGTAATTTATACCCGTAGACCCCAAGAAAGTGTTTTGAATTGTGTTAAATTAATCCGTACTCCCCCGTCGAACGTAAATTTCCTCGTGCGGAGACGGGAACTTGCACTTTCCCTCTTACCTTTATTAAATTCACAGTTTGTAAATCCTCGAAAGTTCAGTGACATTTGAACGATCAAATAAAACGTCCCGTGTCTGTTTCCCTCGACCTGCTCTCACAGAGTATTCCTGAACCAGTCCTGAATAAGGTGTTGCTTCGCGGTGTAACGTGTTGCCTCTGACATCACCAGTGTCGTCTTTTGCGTGACGTGCACGACGCGTCTCGTTAGCACGTTGATTTCAGTTTGTAAACCGAGCTGTCCCGGAAGTCAGTGGCTGCATAAACATTGGGGGGGGTATTTTTGGTAAATTTTACGGATGAACGAAACCTGGCTCGAATTTTCATTTCCCACATGTTAGTCTGCTGTTCGTGTAATCGTCAGGAAATGTTTGTCAACAAACCAAAAAAGAAAAGAAGGAAGACAAGCAAGACAGGGATGATTCCTCAGGGGAACAATTGGCTCCGATTGAAACCTCAGGCTTCCGATTGCGATGGACTTTAATTGACGTGATGCCGGACCGTCATCATTCCCTTATTCCGTTTCTGTGAAACGTTTGATTAATTGGAGCCTCGTCGTTGCGGACAACCTTCGTTCATCTTCCTGTGGAGAGCTACGCGGCGGCGCGTGGGCACGAGAAAAGATCCCCGGGAAAGCCAGCCTTTAATTCACCCACGCGGTTTTCAGAGACCCCGTCGCTGCGTTCGGAGCGGTTCGATCGGACGTGATCGAGGAAAGAATTACGAGGGAACGTTTTTCCCTTTTTCTCCACTTCCATTCTACGCGGATACAGTTGTCTCTTAAACGTTGGTAGGAAATTATTGGAAATATTCCGGTGTTCGAAATTCATGAAAGCACAGGTAAACATGCTTCCGGAACTGCTGTTTTTAGAAATATTATGTCGTGCGAGTGGTCTTTAAAAGGGAAAATAATTTTTGTTTTTATTTAACAACTCTTGATGTCTATTCAAATTGCAGACACTGTTGGATTATTTTGTAAGAATTAATGATTTTTTAAGATATACTATATTGCAAGGACATGGGAGGATGCTTTATTGTATTCGACTGTGTTTTACGTTTTGTTTATTTTCTAATTCAAAATTATACTTTAGAATAAATAAAAACATTGTTTCCAATTGTTTCGTACGTATTCCAGTCTGGTTTGTTGCATTCTGATTATGTTGAAACCTGTGAAACAAAGAGTTGTTAATTTTTTTCCTATATAGTTTCAGTTTTTCTCTGTCGTATTTATCTTCATTTATTTTAATAGTATAATTCAGCTGAATCTGAATAACTCGAGAGCTTGTTGATGAGCACTTGATATTTCATTTGGGTATATTATTTAGTATTTAAAATGGCAGAACTTTATTGTGGTAATTAACAAATGACCTGTGAATTAAGAGAAGGTAAAAATATTTAAAGGTACAAATATTTTACGATGAGTGTTCATTTTGTATTGTTATTAACGTCGATTCTCCCAGTTTTGAATCGCTATTTAATGAATATTATTCCTTAAAATTCTGTAAATATATATTTGTTTATATGTAGGTGTTCGTTAAAGCTTTCATGAATTTCGAATTCTGGTGGATCTTACAATTCCATCAAGAGATTTCAAATACACCCACACAGATACAGACGTACATATACTCAGACACCCACGCATGTTGCGTATAAAACGTGGACTGACGCACAGAATATTCAGCACACTAATTTCAAACAGCGCTTAATCTTCAGATGAATGTGATCCATAGCTAGACAAAAGCAGACTGAAAAAATACATGCTGGGCGGGACTGCTCATTTTTTTTCTGACTATACGTAGGTCATGACGTGTTCTATTTTACGGTCTCTGTAAATGAAATAACCACAGAACGCATAAAATGAATAATAAACACAAGATGGATTTACCAAAATGTAGTTTGGTGATGCAGAGTGTATAACAAATTTATGTGTATGAATTTTACCGTATTTTACTGTACTTTAACGTATACACACTTTGAAAAATTCTCTATTTATAATACGTATTCTTTGTAGATTATATTATTGACACTATTAAGGAAATCAATTATGTTGATAACATTTTACTGACTACGGATACTCGTTTTTCAAATAATCACATAATATCACAAAACCCGTTTCATGCTTCTATGGAAATTTGTTTTTATTTTAATAACTTTCTTGATCATTTATTTGAACAATTTCTTGAGGTAACTCTTCGTTGTAATAATTGATCCTGAATATATCACACGAATCTCTTTTAGGGGAAGAGAAATGCAACAAGATGTTTAAAATTAAGCAGATTACACGATACTTTATACTTCGATCGAATGGTTGCAGTCTAAATGTACAAATGTCTAAGGACAAATTTATACCTTGTCGTTGTTTGCATAATCTGAGTAAAGTGATGCTTTTCCAATGGGAAGACACAAATACACCTGCGAAAAAGGTTCTCTCTTTCACTGTACATTGATTTACTTTCACACCAAATTCCGCCACAAATTAATGTCTTCCGCTTTGCATTCGTAAACGTAACACTGCTCAAGTATGTATATTGGTTTCTATCTTTGTCGGGTATTTCCTCACGTTCAATTAATTTCTTGTAACAAGAGACCCGTTAATTGAATCCAAGGCAATTTCACTTCGCACACGGATCTAATCAGTGCCACAGAGAAAGTGGATCGAGTACACATTACATGGCGGATATTAAGTACGGATTAAATCGTGGAATTCGTTCGCTTTTGGATAGGCATGAAAAAAAAGATGAATAAAACTTGGACCTGGTAGATTTCTTTCGCCACGTGATCGCGATAGAAACGTATCAATCATCGGAAATGCGTGAAATAACCGGCGCTTTTGAGTTAGATGCATAATATATGCCCGCTAGTAATGAAACATAAATTTGGAAATAGCTGCATTGTCGCGCGATTAAATAGCGCGTCGACCTGAAACGCAGAATGAAAAGGCAACAATACGCAGCACCGTTCGACGCAGCGAATGAAACGATGGCCTAAACACGTAAAGTCCGATTCGCAATCCGTTCGTCGCAACGAGTGAACATTAATGTCTCATTCGCGGAGATGGGATGAATTCGATGATATATCGACGACAGTGAATTTTTTGATATCATTTGACCATATCGAATATAGTGTTGAAAGAAAATATCAATTGTTTTTCCATATCAATTTTGTTTCTGATATTATTAACTTACCTGGTGATAGTGTCTGGGTCTATTTTTATTTAATTTTTCGTGACTTTCTTTTCATTCTTTGGGATAAGTTGAGGGCGATTTGCATAGAAAACTGCGTCGTCTATACATCCATTTTGTGAGGAAAACATGATTTACATAGAAAACTGCGTCGTCTATACGTCCATTTAAGTTCTCAAAAAGGAAATCCAAGAAATTCTGCTGTGACATTCTCAGCTAGGAACATCCTTCTCGTTTTCATTGCAAAGAAGGTGATATGTGAAAAATCAAATCCAAGTGGTTGACATAGAATTTACTCGTATGGAATTTCAATTTTGAGGATTCGTTGTGGGCTGTTTATACATTGGTTCTTAATAATAATTTTTATATCTGAAGTAAAGACCGTCTGTATGATGGTATGTTTAGTTTCTTATCTAATCCATAACCGTCGATGATTATAAACATTGTCATAAACAGATGGTATTACTGATGTTGTGACACTTATTCAAATCCGAAATAAAGGTAATAGCAGGTTGGCTGCAGTATGATGTAAGAATCTATTAAAAGATGTTTGTCTAAACAGTTTATTTGAAGAATGTTCGCCAATAGTAGTTATTGATAGTCATTAATACAATGTACATCAATCTCGGAGTACAGAACGTATAGGGCTGCAATGATTACTGTTTTCTGATATTAAAATCTTGGTTTACATTTTTCTTTCAAGGTTCGAATAAAACATTTTTATATAGCACACAGTACATGCTTTTTTCAAGCCGTACAGTATACTGGTAAAATTTGACCGTTTAATTTAGGGCACGTCTGCTAGAGATGTCATCTTCTAGACTCCTTTATCGTTCTTCTAGATAACATTCTGGTATTTTCCACTGTAATTTATAATATTCTGATGCTCCTTGTTTCAGTAACTTCATTTTACCTAACTTCATTATACAAACCAATTAAAACATTAATTACATTCATAGATAGTGTTTGTTGAGCGGATGTCTGAG